AGTACCTTGGATCAGTAAGGTCATTGGTAAAATAAAGAACTTGCTAAAATTCTGTGATATGTTTGGGTGTTTTGAATAATATTTTATTCCTGCTTACAAGCAAAATATGTTCTTAGATGTTGAGTTGCAGACACCAGTCCAGCTCAATCAATAACATATTCAAGAAACATATTCTCCAAAACTAGGTATTCATCAAGATGCACACTCTTAAAATATGTTTTATAAAAAAAAATTCATGCACTTTATGTGCTGTAAAAGAGGTCAAGGGAAAACAACACACTTTTTTAAATATAGTAACCTGGTGTAAGTATATTAATACCTGAGCTCAATATATAAATTTGTTTATTGTAAGTTTCATTTGGCAGTTAGCCAAGCTTTTTATTTCTGTGAAATTTCGGTAGTTAGGTAAAGATCACTTGTAAGAATAAAAATCTTCTAATATATAAAAATTAATGTTTGTTCATATTTTATATACTGTCATACCGTTCATTAGATTGTGCTAAAACTTTGTCAACTTATTGCTTGCACTTGCTCAAAGTTTATAGGCAAAGTACAATTAACTTACAGTAGGTGGTTTTTAGGTGTTGGACAAATTGTCAGTACATATTGTACTGATAATTTTTTAAATTCTTTTAAAGATGCAACAAGCCGGATACCAGCTAGTGTATTTTAACAATGTAATACATAAATTCCATATTTGGTGGGCAATAAATAATTATTGCGGCATGGCAGAGCCAGGGGTTCAATACCTGCACAGAAATGTTTGTATGGCCTACAAATAATCATTCTGGGTCAGGATGTTTGTCCTTGTGCAACTTATGTATGTAAAAGGCCCCCATGATAGATACAACAGAAAATGTTATTGCTGGGACAAATTTTTTTTAAATACAATATGATGTTAGTAAACTCTAAAATAGATATTATAGTTGGGTGGCTCACATTGACTGCTATGAATGAAACAGTTTTTGAAAACTATTATAGACGCTATAAAACATGTTTTTATTTAAGCAGAAGGAATAAAAGGATACACAAACAACATAATTGCCCCAGGTGGAAATATCAGGATAAAAAAAAACTAAAAAAACACAGAAGGTATGAGCATTCAAGGTAGGACAATAAGTCTATTATAGTTTTCCAATAATTAACAAATCCCCTTCTGTAATTCATACACTAATAATATAATACAAACATATTGTTATAAAAAATTATGTCCTCCATGTCAATTTTAACAATAGCAAGAACCACCATTAAAATATTGCCAAAGGCCATCAAAATGTGCAAGTTATAGTACAGTGCCACAAGTGTTTGCATTAACACCAACTTCTTTTTACCTGTGCCTAATGAAATACTAAAAAAACTATTGGTAATATATCTACTGTGCATTTAAGTGAAACACACATAAGTTCAAGAAACAATGAATTTTTCATTCCCACATTATAGAAAACTGAACAATTGTACTAGATTACTACATAACTGGAAATCAATGGATATTAATTTTATTGAAAAAAGAAATAAAAAACGTAACAAAACAGACTGTAAATTCATAAAATACTACAAATAAGAAAGAACACTGTTTCATAGATCTTATTGTTTGTCATGAAATATTCGAATGAAACCAACACAACATGATAATGAATAGCTTCAATAAAAACATAGTTAGTATAAAGTTTAATCATTTTTTGAGATAAGTACTAAACAGTAAGTTATTATAAAAATAATGAATGTTCGAGCAAATTGCTAACAAAAATTGGTAATACATAAACTACACTGTAACATAAATTTCGTAACAGACTGCGTGCGTAAATTAAAAACAATATAAACAAATGCTTGTATATTATGATAAAGTAAAGTAATTTAGACATCAAATTAATAAAAAGGTAAGTATATAATAAAAGGTAAGTATAATGAAGGAATAGTTATTTTTTATAAGTTGTCCGCCTACAACTTGGTATTGCCTCAACATCACGATAGAGTATAAGTTATGCGTCATGGTTTAAAATTTATTAATCAAACACTTACCACAACCTTGTAAATATTTCAAATAAATGTTGTAAATAAGATAGTCCTCAATTCATTGTATATCACAGCACTAAAAAAATTACGAATTCACAAACACAACACATACGTCACTCGCTACAATCCGCCATTTTATAAATTTAGTTCTCTAAAAAAGTCAAAGATCTCGTATAAAATTACTATACTATACTCGTTGGTCAAAAGCACGGAGTATATTTTACAGGAGTTTTGGCGGGAACTTGGCCGTAGACGGATTTTCGCTCCTGTTTTGTCGCTTGAATAATGGTTTGAAGTGGATTTTGATTCGTGAAAGTGATGCGATTTTATGAGTTAAGTGTCCGCGCGTGTGACTATTAGAGAAAACGACGAAACAAGTGTTTTGATGTCGATATAAACCTCAAGTTATTTGATCTCTTGGGCGCCTTATGAGCTTGAGTGGCTGTCGTCATCAACTGTTCGCTATGTTGAGCTGTCGTCAAAATCTCCCAAGGGCTTCGCAATGTGACGCATCAGCATATTGTGAAGAAAAAGAACATAAAATGAAAACTCCAAAAGAAAGGATAGGCTCAGAAGGTCTAGAAACCAGAGCCAGCCGCAAAGCCAGTTATTAAGAAAAAGAAAAAGTACATTTTACAAGGTCAAAGAGTTATAGATTACTAACTATATCAAAGAGTATTGGTAAGCGTAGAGGAAGTCTACATCGTAGACAGAGAATTCTACTCTGTCTACGGTCTACATAGTCGGTTCTTAGAGGAAGGTTATTGTAATTGAATAAATAAATACTATGGAGTGTAGAAGTAAGGAGTACCGTAGAATAGTTGAAAAAGTGGCCATCTTTAAAGTAGTAAATAACAGTTCAAAAACTCTCCACAACAGCGCTGGAGTAGCTATTGGGATGAAATGAACTTAGCAGTAATCGACGGTTTAAGTGTGCTGCTAAACTGCTCAGTAGCTCTAAAATCTAAAATAATTTTATTCAGTGAATATAACCCTAACCTCGAAAAAGTCATGTATTACACAGTCACACTAATATTTTTCGGTGCGTTCTTTAAAATTTACCCCGTGGTTATAGTGGTACCACCCTTCTTTAAAGGTTTTCTATGGACACTTTTTAATACACAGTCTGTACTCCTTACTTCTACACTCCATACTAAATACTTTATTATATGGAGTGTAGAGATAACGAAAACAAACTCCATATAAAAAAGCGTATGTAGAAAAGCGCAAAATAAGGGTGGCGCCACTGTAGCTGGAGTGTAAATTTTAAAGTTTCATAATTTTTTATTGCAAAGACTCACCATAATTCTTTTTATAATAATTATTTTTATTTTTTAAAATTTTTATTCTCAAAATCACTCTCAACGTGTTTTACTGTGACTATTTCTAGGTTATATTTACTAAATTATTTAAGACAGAGTAAGTAGTTAAGGTTTTAAATACTGCAGTTTCATCAACTACTCTAGTCACCAAAAATATAAAATTTCTCAACTCAGCACACTTTACTCCGTCGACAACTGCTAAGTTCATTTCATACCCTCTAGCTACTCGAGCGCTGTTGTGGAGAGTTTTTGAACTGTTATTTACTGTTTACAGATGGACACATTTTCAACTATAATTTTATCAATTATTGTCTCCTATGGGAGATTGTCCTCCTTACCTCTATATTCCATGCTTCAAGAGTATATTACTCTACTCTTTAGAGTAAAGGTAGAGTCGATGCGATATTAATAATCAATATTATTATTTCTCAGAAGAGTTACATTGACTATTCTACAATATAATTAATTTATAATTATATAAATATAGCAACTACTATGAGTATTATATAATACATGCAGCGTGAAATCCATAATTCACACGAGTGCGATCGAGGTAACCCTACGTTTGCACCAAAAACATCCAACTTGTAATGTTTAAAAAATTTCGTATAAATTAAGTCACACAAAATTTTTTGTTGGTACTTGCTTTTATAGTCCTCGATACTATGTAAGCGACAATTTTCAAATTTCTTGGCGTTTGCGTTCATATTGAATAATTGAATAAAAACTAATGCAATGTTTATGTTTGATATTGGGTTTGTTAAGCTTTCCGTTCGCACTATTGCGTTGATTTGTTTGTGATGTTCTCCAAAAAGGTTGCTAAACATAAAGTAAATACAAATAGATACTTCCAAATATATAAGGTATCTGAGACTGTTTCTATATATTAAAAACTTTGAGTATTCAACCAACTTGAGAGGCCATGCGTGTTAATTCCTAAACAAAAATTCTGTCAACATCAGGGGGACGCAAGATAAAAACACAACTGTAGTGTTGAGTAGGACATACAAGAGGCGTTACATTTGTCCCGTACATGACGTCAAAATGTAAGAGCGGCTCGGCATTTTTTAATGTACTACTTTAAATTTTATGTCGCGGCAGTCGCGAAGTTGTCTTACTCACTCTCCGTCTTCGTAAAACATAAGAACAGAGAGGGAGCGAAATGCATGCTACAAATTACAATAGTACGTCATTCTAAAATGAACATTACGTGACCGCGTTTCGAATCTCGAGCGAGAGGGAAATATGTTGCTGACATTGATATTAATAAATACTGTGAGGCGCACATTGCAGCGAACTGTTTCCATTAATATGAGTTTTGAATATCGTAAAGTACTTGAGTCAGTGACCAGTGCAAAAGTTTTTAATTTGATGCTTCGTTTGTGTAGTTTAAGTGAATAGATATTTTAATTTAGGTATATATTCAGGTATGTGAACATCAGCCCCCAATGATAATTACTTAGCCGTGACAATACATTTTTTCAATCAGCAAGCAGAATTAAAATCTTTTTTGTTGGAATGTATACAGTTTCCAGATAGACATACTTCATAAAACCTAGCACAAGAACTAAAAAGAATTACAGATAATTGGGAAATTACTGACAAAATTGTAGCAGCAATCAGTGATAACGCTTATAATATCAAAGCTGCTATAAGACTTAATAAATGGAAGCAAATAAAAAAGCTTGTTTCGCTCATACTCTCAACCTTATAGTCCAATCTGCATTAAAAGAAATAAAAGATATTACCACAAAAATTAAACAAATTGTCGAATTATTTCGTAGAAGTCCACTTGCATCTGAGAGATTAAAAAATATGCAAAAGAAGCTAGATGAACCAGTATTGAAAATAAAACAAGACGTTTCCACACGCTGGAACTCCACGTGTGATATGTTCGAAAGGGTGTTAAAAATTAAAAACAATGTTATGTCCGCAATTGCTATCGATTATCCCGATACTATAAATATGACTTCTGAAGACATTGACGTTTTGGATTCGGCAATAGAAATTCTTTCATTTTTCAAAGATGTAACTGAGGAGATGAGTTCAGAAAAGAATGTTACAATATCAGAGGTGAAGTAATAGATAACGCATTTATTTTGTATATTCAATTTTAACATTCTTTTGTCATGTATGAGGTGTTTTATAAATTTCAGGTTATACTTATATCAAACGCCCTCAAAAAGAAATGCCTAAAATTTTTATCTACGCCACATCCGGACTGTGTTTTACGATTGACCCAAGTGCTTTTAAATGAAATTAGCACAAGGTTTTCGTGCATTGAGGAGAATAATATTTTTGCTGAAAGCACTATATTAGATCCAAGATTCAAAAAATATGGGTTTGAGAATGAGTACGCTTACAGTAAAGCATGTACAAATATCAAAGCCTTGGCCGGGTGAATTCAAATACAAAGCACATGTACATCAGAGTCGCCATCTTCGTCGCCATCCCATAAGCGTAAACATAGCATATGGAATGAGTTTGATGAGCAAGTGGATATGATAATAAAATATATTAATCCGACTGCAGGGGGTATTATCGAAGTCGATAAATACCTCGAGGAACCCCTACTGCCAAGGTCCCAAGATCCTGCCAAGTGGTGGTTTGTTAAAAAGGACGCCTATCCTAGGCTTTATAAGTTATTTTTAAAACGGCTTTGTATTGTTGCCACTTTAGTGCCTTCCGAGCGCACTTTTAGTAAAGCAGGCCAGGTCCTTACGGAGAGAAGGAACCGGCTTAGTGGCAAGAAAGTCGCGCAAATATAATTTTTTACATTCTAATTTATAATTGTATTTACAAGCTTTTTTATTATATTCTTTAAAATATATTTCTTTATCTTTTTATTTACCTACTTACACACAATATAATCGTGTATGTTAATCGTTTCATAGTCAATGTCTTCAATCAGAGTACAGATTGTAACAGTACGGCAATAACGTCAAATGTCAGATTTATACTCGTAACTTCAAACGTATCGTCGAGCTTCAGCACGCCTCGCCCAAATTCCAAACCATTAGCCTCACCTCATTTGAAGTGGGACATTGTACTGGCTCAGTGCAAAAAAGAGGCTACTCTTACACTCTTACAACACTACACAACTGTATACTTAACTACAAACGCAAAATTAAACCGCGTCACTATAAACGCATACTACAACATTTGTGTTTGTGTTCATTGAATTTACGCATACCACCAAATTAAACACGTGTCGACACACTGGTACTCTTTATAGTTTGTGGGTGACGCTGTTCAAATGCGTAAGCAACGTAGGGCGTGGACTATGTCGATATTTTTTATCGATAAACAAATCACCATAGCCCGCATATGTTTTTATTTGATTATAAGTAATACACAGATAAATAATTCCAAGGTGTTATTTGAAATTCTTTTTTTTTTAATATTTAAAAATGATCTCCGGAAAAAAAAACTTCGAAATTGTTAAAAGTAAGTTTATTATTTTGCTACAGGTTTATTTTAAATTATGCAGGATAAAAGTTAAAACATGTAACAAATCGAAATGGGGGGTTTAGTTAACTTATTTTAAAAATCAGATTTGTAAAAAGAAAAATCGTATCAGTTTATCGTCATAGATGTTGTTAACCAAGTTTTTGTTTTTATTATAAGGCTTCAATCACAAAATCGCTATTTAAAAAAAAGTTGTTGTTTTTCAAGAGTTATTAAGTAAACTATCTGGAAAATATTTAATAAATTAGAAAAATAAAGAAGTTTTACAAAATATAATAGTTGAACAAAGTGAACTTTAAGCAGACAGCTGCTTAAAAATAAAACGTGACATATACCTAGGGCTAAGTATTCTCGAGAAAGATGTTTTGCTTTAACTTTACATTACTATTCACCGAAAACTTAACGATATGTGCGAAATATCAAAAGTTTTGAAATTTGTCTGCCTTCATCAGGTACTATTAACAAAGTGGTATAGTACAATTAATGGCCGACTTGGGTAAACAAAAAAGCGTTAACTGTTTTAAAACTAAGACTAGAGAGTAATCCTGACAAGAAATTGTATTGTATATTAGTGATAGATGAAAAGAAAATAAAACAATTGACAGATAACTACGCAAGTTTTAAAAGACATTTTGGTTATGTTAATTATGGATTTGACTTCATTTCTGACAATTCGGAGAACGCTACTGATGCTTTAACATTTTTATTAATGGGCGTTAATACTTCTTGTAATGTACCCATTGGTTACTTCTTAGTAAAGGGTACAAGTGCTGAGCGAAAGCACGACTGGTAGCTCAAGCTTTACACATAGTTCATGAAACCTATAGATTAAAAGTTAGGGAATATTTAGTTCAGAAGCTGGGGAATATTTAGTTCTGGGTTGTTATCCAGTCTAACTTTTAAGTAATTGTCTCTTTAAGAGTTCACTTTCTTCAATTCCTATCTTTGCTAGGACCTGTTTGTTTTCTTTATTAATCAAACAGGTCTCTGTTAGCGAATCTAGTATTTCTTGCAAATTTGTAACTTTTTTCTTTAAATACCGTTTCTACGATTGAAGTCTTTTTATGCTATGGTTTTTAATGTCAAGGCATTTTTTCAGTTTAATTTTCCTGGGCGTATCTTCCAAGTGTTGGTTCGTACTTGCAGTGGGAGTAGGACTAGTTGGGGCTATAAAAGGAATATTGGGGCTATAAATGGAAGTTTCCGGAATCCAGCTTTCTTTTTTTCGATGTTGTACAATCACTACGATCAGCCTATTTACGTGGTAAAGCCATGCTGCAGTTATATTAGTAGTATAGTTACATCATATTTACGTGGTAGAGCCATGCTGCAGTTATATTAGTAGTATAGTTGTAGCAAGAATGGGTCGGCTCGACCGGGGAAGGACCACGCTCTCACAGAATACCAGCGTGAAATAGTAGCTTAATGCTGCTGTATTTCGTATGGTGAGTGTAGAGAACCGGAGACCCTTTTTACTGGAAACGAGGCATTCCATCTCAGTCCTCACGGGTGACAACGCATCTGCATTTTGATTTTTAATGGAGGATAGATGTAGATGTCTATGGGCCGCAGCAACCACTTACCATCAGGTGGACTGTGTGCTCGTTTGTCACCCTATTCTATATATATAAAAAAAAAAGCCTAAAATAAATAATTTACTTATGTAAGTTTGAAGATTCAAGCTATATATACAACACGTAACATAATTAACGCATTTTGAGAAAGTAATTTGTTCAGAATCGTTTACTGAATCGATTCCTATCGTTTTTAATATAGGTAATTTTTTATCCCAAAAATAATTAAAACTACGTAAATTACAGTCACACTAAATCTGTACAGTCAAAACAAACAGAAATGGACCGTAACTTAAGGCAATAAGACTTTTAAGAGTACCGTTTTATTTGTATTATTACTAATTCTGTCATTCAATAATCAGTGCATAAAAATGTTTAACTAAAAATTCAGTGTATGTATTATGTTATAACATAATATACTAATTGGGTTGTCTGAGGGTGTGCGTTAATGACGTTACATATTGTATATATATATATTGGTTGCGCGGAAAACCATTCGCGTTTTTTATTTGACGGTAGGAACTTGTAGAATCATTATTCCTTTCCAAACAATATCATTCGTACCCTCCTATCGACACATCGGGGTGGTGGGGTGGGAGGGGAAAGAAGACGATTCTAGAACATCGCGTAATCACCCGAGCCGAGGATATATAAGACACGCGCGACCGATGCGCGAGCCTCTTCTCCCGCCGCAGTCGTCGTTGAACCAACGCTTCTCTCCTGACGCACCACTGGGGCCCCAGAAGTGTCTGTCCAGAGGAGGTTCCGGAAGTCGCCGCTATAGTGATCGACAGGAAGAAGAAACCCCGGTGAGTCAATATTCCTTAATTATACCTGCTTGCTAATAGTTTAACCCGCTCCAATCTGTGTTTTTTTTTCCTAATCAAGCAGGATTCCTTTCATCGATTCGACAAGTAATAGTTTAGTTTAGGGAAGAGCGAGTGCATTGTACCGCATGCTATAGTAGTCGCTTTTACGTAAGCGTAGAAGCAATCGCATATACAGTCCACTTTAGTTAATATCTCGCGTAATAGGTTTGAGGTTTGACCGGGGAACTAGACTTTCGGCAGCCTTAAACACGTGGCTCCACCATTTTATGGTCACTTCGGCAGGATCTGGATTGGTGTTTAGTGGTTATCCAACCATTTTCTGGTCGAATTATTAAATTAATTGTTTAGATAACGCACTCTAATTTATAGAATAGACTTAAATAGTGTTCGTTTAAATTAAAATTTTGATTTGTTACTCGCAAACAGAATTATTCATTTAATAGCGCTCGTATTTGGTTAAATTTAAAGCTTATTAAATAATTGAAACGGCGTGATAGCAACCGTTTGATACGCTTACCCCACAATTTTTATAAAATTATTAGGTTTAGCAAACGACGCGTAGCCTTGACTGCATCGGGCGCTCGATCTGATTACGTAATACGGCACGCCGAGTATTCATCCTACGTCGTTTATGCGTGTGAGATTAATTGTGATTAATATAACTTTATTATAATAATTTAAAATGGCAGTTAGTGGAAGTGAAATCAAAATTAAAACGCTTTATGCCAAGAGGGACATACTCTTTTCGCGTGTGCAGAATATAAGTGATTATATAAAGAACATTCATATAGAGGCAGTACGGGAGGCCTTTTTAAATGAAATCGAAACGATAGATAATTTGCGGACAGATTACGAAAGAATATTAGATCAAATTAATCATTCGGAACTACAAACCGACCCGAAATACATAGTGAACTACCAACCGCTGCTGGCATTCGAAGATATGTTGTGTCGCGTGAAGAGAACCGCAAAATTGCTACAATCTCAAGGTGAAGCGAAGCCTGAAATGCAGGTACGCCCTCGTGACTCAATTAGGTTACCGCCAATAGATATTCCGGTATTCAATGGTGATATTAAGACGTGGCCCTTCTTCTTCAGTAGTTTTCAAAACAATATACACAACAACCCATCGTTATCGGACGCTGAAAAATTATATTACTTAATTAGTAAACTTAGTGGCAGAGCACAATCGATATGCTCGGGTTTTACACCTACAGCAAACAATTACTTATTAATATTTGAAACGCTTAAAACTAAATATGAAGATAGGAGAATGTTAGCTTCCGAATATTTGAACCAGATATTCGATCTTAAACCTATATCATCCGCGAACATCAACGGCTTAGAGCAGTTTCTCGATAAATTTGTGGCATCGGTGGCTGCACTTAAGAATTTGAAGTTTAATGACCTCATGGACGTGGTGTTTCTCCATATAGCATTAAAGAAATTAGACTCCGACACCGTGCGTGCGTTTGAAATGGAGCATCGTAGCTCGGAGATGCCTTCCTTTCATTCATTAGCATCGTTCGT